TGCCTAGGGTTGCCCAGCAACCCTGAGCTCCGGAAGGTGCCAGAATTTTGCCCTCCAGCCCAGGCCAAGCAAGGCGAAGGAAAGGGGCTGGAGGGCCTTGCAGAAAGCCCCGTAGCCTGACGCCCTCGTGCCCGCCTTTCCTAGCTCCTGGGTATGCAGAGGCAGGCTCCTCCCTCCCCCTCCGTGGGCTCCGCGCAGGCTCGAGGTTTCGCTTCCTGCGAAAGCTGGCGGGCTAGGAACTGGCGGCGTCCACGGCGGGCGCAAACTGAAGGCCAAGGTCCGGCTGCCGGCTTGCACGATACGCTCAGGGAAAAGAGGCGGTGGGCCCGGGGGGGACAGGATTTCCTCGCCTCCTGGGCGCGGCCGCTCCGGGCATGGCCGCACAAGGCCCCCTTTGTGGAGGGGCCCAGCTCCCGCGCAGACTGAGGGCAGCGAACAATAGCGCAATGTTGCCGCCCGCCGGGCCAGGCTCTCCCGGTTACACCCCGGCCGCCGAAGGCGAGGCAACCGGGTGGCGCTTTTTTATAGTCACAAATATAAAATCGGGGCTTTCTCCCCTTTCGCTCGCCCCCTACCCCAACGCCGATAGAAAGCAGATAAATTTATGAAGGGCGAGCTAAGAGAATAATTACAGGGTGAAGGCCGTTAAATTTTATTTCCAGTCCCAAAGGCAAAACCTGCGATTTTATTGCAAACATCTGGAAGGACCAAGAGGTGGGCACGCTGCTGGTTTAAAATAAAAACAAAAGATTTTATTTCGCGAAAACAAAAAAACATCATTAAAGACCCTTTTGCCCCCACGGACATTTATTTTAAAAAGTGTGAGAGGGTGGTTGAACAGTCAACGACGCACGCCGTCGCGAAGCGCCCGGCAACCTGAACCAACCCGGAGACTCGAGATGCAGGCTGCGGGAGTGGGCCTGCGCAGTCTCCGCGGGGCTGGCATCGGGCGGGCGTTTCCAGAAATCGGCTCCCTCCCACGCCCACCCGAGGGCTCCAGGCCAGTTTTGCCACCCCATAACTGGGCGCCAATGTGGAAGAAGAAGTGAAAAGTGGGTACCCTGGCCTCATATTCCCAGAAGATTGGATCACAGCAACAATAAAGCCTCAGGTCTGTTCCGCCTCCGACCCATTATCTTGCCTGCTTTGCTTAGTTGTAAAGTATTTAGGGCTCCTTCACACTGCCGGAGGGGAGACTGAGGCACAGGCCATGCACTGACTTGCCTAAGGTCACACAGTTAAATGCTGAAGGGGACCTGTTCGCTAGGCTTCACCTGACTTGGAGTCCAGAGGGTTACCTCCCACCCCATAGTCGCCTCATAATGTTTTATATCTAGTGCCTAGACAGGCTGAATTCGTTGTAATTGCCTCTCCCCCACCTGGTGTCCTGCCCACGTGTTTAAGGGCAGACTAACGTGTCCTGCTGGCAACGATTTTTAACTTTGTTTTCAATTACTCAAAACTGCAAAGTCCCAGCATCTGGTAGATCACCTTGTATTGAGGCATTAGCAGTGGTGGTAGTATTTAGTGTGGAGAAACAGAAGGAAGACTGGTATGTGGGGGATGTAGGGGCTTGTGTTTCCAGGACTTTCGTCCTTACACTGCAGAACTCTGTTGTTGCATTGAAAAATCAAAATATTTGGACATGGCCAGTTTTAGGTGAGTAGTCCTTATGCTGCTCTTTGCTTCTGGGCATTCCTCCTGTCAAAGTTAGGACTGGTCATCCATTTCCCATAGGTCCCTACAGGTAGTCAGTGGGGTCCTCTCTTCCACTTTCCCCTTGCTCCCCTCTGACTTCTCAGGTGCTTAATAACCTTCTCTTCTTTTTTGGGACCCTGCAGGGGGCATGGCAGGATGGGGGGGGAGGGCTGGCTTCAACTTGTTCCTTCTTCATCAGTGTCAGGCCTGAAATAGACCTGTAGACTCCACCCAAGACCTAAGGTTGGTGGCTGGGAAATCTGGGATTGCCTCAGGAATTAGCTTCATGCATTGGGCATCCCACTTTTATTCCTGAAGGTTAAAGGAAAGAGAAACTGGGTCATGAGATTTTGAAAACTCTTTGATATGAATGGAGGAAAATGCATAGCACACTCCCAGATTTCTACATTGAATCCCCCAGTCTTCTTTTTCTTCTCCCAATCACATAAAATTATACACTAAAGTCACAGCCATTAAACCATCCTGCTTAATCTTTCTCCAGACCTCCCTTCCCATCAGTATAGGGTCAGGAACCAAGGAATGCAGGCCCCTGGGGGGTGGGGGAAATTTAGATTGACCCCTACAGTCACAAAAAGAAAATATCCCTGGCCCTCCCATTTACCTAGAGGAAAACTCCTATTTTCATGACTGATCCAAAGCAACCTGGCTTCCTGACCCTTTGATTTGTTTAATGGCCTAATCCACAATTTTAAGATATGTGTATATGGGATGGAGGTGGGGGCAACTTATGTGTGAACTGAAGGAAGGGTATAGGAGCTCCTCTGAGAACTCTATGCAGAGTGTATGTTTGGGGGTAAGGTGCAGATGCATGCTGTTGAAGGCAGGGCTATCTTTTCTATGCATGTCTCTCCAACCTATGTGTATGGTCACCTATATTGTGTGGGCTTTCTGGACCTGCATCTTGGTATGCGGGTAAACCAAAAGTTCTCTTTTTGAGAAACTTTCACAGCCCCAGGGAGGGTGTATGTCCTATGATGCATCTACTTTGCAATCCAAACTAGGTCTGTGAGGGAAGGCCAAGGTTAAGAGGCTGCCAGAGGGAGATGGGAGATACAGGCAATGGGGAGGAGGAAAATGCTGGTAAGGAAGAGAGGCTGGCCCCATCGCTGCTATCCCACTGGGTCGGGTCCCAACAGGCCCCAGTTCCGGGCAGTGACACCAGAATCAGGCGCCGAAAGAGAGATCTAAGCTGAAGGAGAAGGTAACTGGGCGCTCCTGGCCTGCCCTTGTTTCCAACTCCTTTGCTGAGGCCCCGTTGTGGTGATGGCGCTGTCACTTTCTGCCACGGCTCCTGGAAGCCACGCCAAGCGGTGACTGAGGTGGGAGACCCTGCGCCTTGCCACCCAGGCTCCTGGAGTTTGCCCTGCAGCCCGGCAGGAGACGCAGAGGGGCTTTGTTGCCGACTTCTAGATCCCAGGGTGCTTGGAGTGCTGCTCAGGGATCCCCAAGCCCGAGAGAGGCCTGGCTGACTCGCACTCAACTGGTGGCTTCCATCATTCTTTCTGCATTTGCTGCACCACTAGCTTCCTCTTGTCTGGCTGACGCCCAATGTGAGGGGGCTCCAAAAGTGTTCTTTTTTGCTTTCTTCCGAAGAGGCCCAAGGTGCATTCATGACACTCAGCGGTTGCCTCCAGCACCAGAGCACTTCCAACTATAATATCAAGGACTAGATTTACCCTGCGGTTGGGAAGTGAATGTGGCCTTTCAGAGGCCTGACAGGGTGGAAGGGCAGAGGGGTGCTTGTTCTTGGGGGACCTGTGACTGGCCGTGGGCCCCTCTGCCCTAGGCTTGCTGACCCTGTTCAGGGCCTGGCTGTCGCCGAGACTTGTCTGCCCCTCTTCTCTGTCTGTCCCTGGCACCCGGGGAGCTGGCTCTTTCCTGCCTCTTCGCGCGGGGATGGGAGTGTCGACCAGGTCTTTGGGATGGGAAGATCAGGTTGTGGTTAGGCCGCAGTCCGCGAAATCCGAGACCTTTTTTTTCCTGCTTCGCAAGATCAACTTCTCGGCTCCTCTGAACTGGCTCCGCGTTGGGCTGCGCCCGCGGTCTCCTGCGGCCCGTGACCAGTAGCGTGACCCAGGAGGGGGTGTGGGAAATGAGAATAGCTAGAGTGCGGCATTGTTAGTTCCAGAGAAATCCCTGACTTCTCTGTCCTAAAAGATTTTTTTTTTTTTTTAAGGGTGTAAAGAGGCTCAGCGAGTGGGGAGAGCCGGGTTCCCGAGGTGATCAGATTTGAAGGGCATTCTGAAAAAGCTCTTCCGCTGTCAAAGTTACTGGCTGCCCTTGCCCACCCCTTCTCTGTGGGTTCTCCAGAACAGGCGCCCCGAGCAGGCAACGCTGACCAGCATCCACGCGGAAGGGAGGGCGAGCGTTTGCTGCGTGCGGGCCCAGTCCGGATAAGTCTGCGGAGCGCGCGGTAAGCCGGGCGCCCAGCCGCCGGCCACTTGCTTGGAGGGAGCCGAGCCTACGTCTCCTTCTCCACCAGGTAGAACTGGAAGGAGGAAGCGATCATTAGATTTACAATTACAAGACCCTGGATAGTAACCGGGCGTCTTTGTTTATTTCTTTCGTTTTGCCTTAGCCAGAGTTGCTTAGGCATCGTACCACAGGAAAGTAACCTGTGTGGCGAAATCCCGGCGGAACCAGAAGAGCTGATAGCGTCTGGGGGCAGGCGCGAGATTATCGGAGTCGTTTTCGGGCGTTTTTGGACAGGTTGAGAGCCCCCAGACTCCAGATCGGTAATTAAAATGACTCTGGGCTTGCAGCGTCTATGAGACTTAGCAGATTTGGAAGGGAAAGGTACGGATTTGGGACCGGCGGGAGTTGGGAACGGCGAAGATCAGACCTCGACTTTCGGCCCTCCTCCCTCCCCCTTGAAGAACCCGTGGGGAACCGGGAAGCCACGGGTTAAAGTCGGCCCAGGAGCATCCCCCGGACTACCCGTGCGGAGCCTTGGCCCGAGCCTCAGTCTCTCCCCTCCTCTCATTGGCCCGCGCTCTCAGGGTTTCTCCGGTTCCCTCCTCGCCATTGGTCGGGGGCTGGCTTTTTTTCCCCTCCGTCTTTCTCTCCCTCCCCCTCCCTCTCCCTCACCCCACGGACAGGAGCGCACCGCCTGCCCCCAGCTTCTCGGGAAGGGAGGAATTTAGAAAAAAAGTTTCCCAGAAGTTTGGATCAGAGGAAGGTGGGAAGACCCAGAGAGGAAGAGGGAGAGGGAGGAGAGAAAGGGAGAGGGAGGAGAGAGAGAGAATAAAAAAAGATGAAGTCCGGTCTGCCCAGCCTGTGAGCGCCTGCCCCGGTGGGTGGGAAGCAGGACTCGGGCGCTCATGCGGCGAGCGGGCGGCGCTCCGGGCGCTCGTTCCTAGCCGCTGGGGCAGCTAGGGGCGCCGGTCGGAGCCGGCTGCGGAGGGAGGGGGAGGACGCAAGGGGAGGGTGCAAAGGACCCGCCGCGCCGCCGCCTCTGTCTCGGCCGCCGGGCCGCCGCCTCTCCCGGGCCCGGCCCGGAGGGCGCTCCGAGCGTGAGGGCGCGGGCTGCCCCCTCAATAGCGGGGGCGAGCGGAGGCCGGGGTGCGGGCGGCTAAGATGAGTGAAAGGAGAAGATCTGCAGTCGCCCTGAGCTCGCGAGCACATGCCTTCTCCGTTGAAGCCTTGATCGGCTCAAATAAAAAGCGGAAACTGCGAGACTGGGAGGAGAAGGGGTTGGACCTGTCCATGGAGGCGCTGAGCCCCGCGGGCCCACTCGGAGACACGGAGGACGCGGCCGCACAGGGCCTGGAACCTCACCCGGGTGAGTGCGCAGGACCAGACCGAGGGAGGCGGGCAGAGAGGGGACGCCGGGCGGGCAGCCCGCGGGCGGAGTGGTGTGGAAGGAGGCCCTGCTAGCTGACGCCCTGCCTTGCTCCAACGCGGGTTTCCTTTTCTTGGCGCAAACGTCTTGAGCCTTCCCCAAATTCGCGGCAAACAACCTGAGGGGAACTGAGCCTTGCATTTTCGTCGCCAACCTCAGGCAAGGAGGCCTCGGTCGCATCCCTTTCTCTTCTGGGAGCGGAGCGCACTATTCTGGTGTTCACAGCTGAGCGGCCGCAGGCCCCTGGGGTTAAGGAGGGGCGCAGATCGAAGGCGACCGCAGGAGTGGAGAGGGGCTGGGATTCGCTTCTGAGAGCTCCAGAGGACTGGCGCGGAGTTCTCGGGCTCAACACCCAGTCCCGGGAAATGCCCAGTTTGTCCCATTTAGCCTTCGACCTCGGTCCTCGCCCTTCCCCCACCAACTTTTCTGGGACTCAAGTTCTTGCGTTTCCCCTACTACGGGGACGACGGAGCATAATTATATTTCTACTTCGTTGGCGTTTATGGAAAAAGGATCTATGTTAGACCCCTTACCCTGCGCCCTGGGTCACTCTTCAGGGCCCACATCTCTGTGTACTGGGGGGGAGCGGAGCGATTAATTTGTGTCTCAGATCTATGCACATTATATGCACACAACACGTTAAACACAGAGCGGATGTTGGTGTCTGTATTTTAGCAGAAACCTGGGAGGGTAGTTGAAGGGGGGGAGGACAACTTAACGTTTTATATTAAGTGCCAAGATTTCAACTGTGCAAAACAGCCCGGGGGAACAGCTGTTGTCGGAAGAATCTTGCGCGCGCGCCCGCGCGCGCGGACACACACACACACGCACACACACGCACGGTCGCAGCTTGGTTTAGCGGTTTCAGAAGCTTTCCAGCCAGGACTTCTGCTGCCATTCTGGAGGTGATCCTGCTGACCAGCTAGGGTTAGGGAGTAAACCTGGGTCAGCGCGCCAGGAGCGGAAAGCCAGGGTGGGGGCGGCAGCCCGCAAAGTGATGGGGGCGGCCACGGGCCGAAAGAGCTTGGGGACTGAGCTTGGGGCCCAGGGGCTTGGGGGCTGGAGAACTGGCCGACCCAGGGAAGGACAGCTGTCGCTTACATTTTCTCTTTCGGCAGTGACAGTTCAATTTCCATGCTCCTGAGGCTAATAATAACGCGATTAGCGGGTGACTTGCCGAGACAGAGTTTTTTGAATTCTCCGTGTTCTTGTGGCCCGTTACGGTATTTGAGTTTAGTGCTGGGGAATTATTTTTATTAGTCGATGAAAAGAAAATTAAAAGGAGATTTATTTCGTCCGCTCAAATTTTTCCCTGTATTTGGATGCGGGTGCCTGTCCACGCGGACCCCTGTGTGGGCAATCCAGAAAGGAACGCGTGGCTAATGTGTGTTTCCCATCTCTGGCCAGACCCTGTTTCCTCACCGCATTTATATGTTGTGAAAATCTCACTTGTGCCTTCAGATGGTTTAGTGGGAGTTCTTTCAGGCCTCATGACAACTCATGGTTTGGGAGGTTATTTTGCTTTCCCGACAGTGGAAAAGACAGAAGTTGCTTAACTGCGCGTGTCAGACACCCTGTCCGCGGGTACTTTTCTCTAGGGAGGGGTCCAGGTCCGCCGGAGCTGGTCTAGGGTCGCTTGTTCAAAAGGACCAATACGAGGGGTCATGATCAGAGACTCAGCTTGCAGTTTTCTCTTTCCGGCGTTTACATCAGCCATAGTGAGGAGAGAAATGGTTGGGGCAAGGAGAGACCATTCCAGAGACATAAACGTGAGGACCTGTTGTCCAAAATGCTGTTCTCTTGCTCCCACAGTATGGCGGTAGGGGGTGAGAACATAACATAGGACTTTATGTCACACAGAGTTCAGTTGACCCCTTCCCATTTCATCTTTTTTTTTTTTTTTTTAAGAAAAAGATGGGTGTTTGGATTGGAGAAAACGAAATATGTTTGTGGGGTTGAGGCCGGGAGGAGGAAGAAGCTGAAAGCCGAGAGTACTCGCGGGCCTTCTGCGGCGCCGGGCAGCCAGCCCGGCCTGGCTGCGTCGTGCACCGAAGGGATCTCCAAGTTGGAGCCCCCGCAGTGGCCAAAGCTTTCTTACGAACCCGACATAGAGAAAAGAGCTTTCAGAAAAACTGCTTGGTGGCGTGGAGCCTCCGCAGTCCCCAGAGTGGAGGAGGCGGAGCTGCCGGCTCTGCGGAAGGCGAGTCCAGGGATTGGGGTTCCCTGTAGGCCTTTCTTTCTCCTCTAATTCGGCGCCCTAATGAACACACATCTTTAAAGGTGTGTGTTTGGTGGTGGAGGTCGGGGAGGGGCACGGGGAACTCCATTGTGCCCGGGGCCATGTCTCTGCCGTCCTTGGCCTCAAATTGTTTAAACTCTCTTCCCGGATTAGGATCGAGAGCAGGCTGGACCCGCCGTGTGGCTCGCCTGCGCTAGGCCGATGATAAGAAGTCAGGAATGGGGGGGAAAACGACAACAGAAACAAAATTGCCACGGAGCTTGGGGAAGGATTAAACAAACACGCAAACACAGGACACCCGCGCAAAGCAACCGTGTTTATCATTTTCACCATTCCCTCCCTCTGACTGGTACCTCGGTTTCCAGCCCTCCCTGTCCGTGCCTTAAAATCCCAGGATTCTGAGACAACCCAAGGGTTAGATTTTAATGGTTAACTTTTATTCAAAGACGTGGCCTTTTGCTTTTTCACAGTCCGTTTTTCTTTCCACGTCCGGACAGAGCTGGCTTTAGTTGGCGCCGAGCGCCCGCAGCCTGGGGCGTCAACCTGCAGCAGCGGGGGACCATCCCAGTCTGCGCGCTGTAGGAACTCACACATCAGAGGACACACAGTATGTATTTCAAAATTTTCCACCGAGCCTACTGGTCCCGAAAAACCCCGAGGCCCAAAGGGCCTTGGAGAAGGGCCTGTGAGGTGCCCTCATTATTGCCAGAACTCCGCGTCTTTTGGAGAAGCCGCCAGGACGCAGCCGCAGCGGGCTCGGGAGGGTCTCCGAGGAGCCTGACTCTCGGGCCTGCTTGCCCCCGCCTCTCACCAAGCAGCAACAGGAACACTTTTGAGCCAGGATCGCCCGGAACAGCTGCTCCGGCTGCGGCCTTGGAAGTATATTTCAGGCACGCGGCGGCGCCATCTGCGCTCGGACCCCAGCCCCGGCTCCACCCAGCTCCAGTTTGGAGTTGGGCCTTTCCCGCCCAAATCCACAGCCGAGTGCGGCCGAGGTCCGGTCTCCCGCGGAGCGAAATAATTCAAACCTTCTGCGAAAGGATTTCCCCCTTCAGGGCCTGCGGCCCTGAGGCTTGCAGCCGCAGCGCTCCAGAGGCCTAGGAAGGTGGCGGCGTACGCGGGTGGGCACACAAAGCAGGCACACTCACGAACATGCGGGCAGATCTGTACTCCGCGCACACGTGCACATATGTCAGGCTCGCGCGGCCGGTGCACCTATCTGCGCGTCCGGTGCACAATCCGTAGTGAAATGAGACAGGCAAAGCCTGTGCAGTGCCCCCAGGGCACCTTCTTATCCCGAATTACCGAGATCAACTGTACACGCAAATTAATCTGCCAGTTTATGGCTTGTGTGCTCAGAGTAAGACTCCCAAGATTTTAATCCTGACATCACCCCTCCACCTACCCCCAATCCCCAGTAGGGAAACACAGGGTCAAAACGGAGGAAATGACTGTTCACTGACATTTAAGTAATGGAGAAAAAGCGGTGAGTTTGAAGCCAGTGGGGAGACTGTGCTTGCGCGGGGCAAGAACGAGCCAGGGCGCAGGCCGGAGCTTGGACTGCCCGGCAAGGGTGTGGGGTGCGCTGGGCGAGAAGCCAAAGTGTATGCCTGAGGTAGAGTCCGGGGCGAGGAATACCGGTTCCTCAGTGGTACGTGCGCCCCTCCGCCACCGCAGGCCTCGAAGGTGCCAGGCCGGGACCCCGAGGATGAGCCAGGTGTGGTGCCTGCTGGACATGCGCAACGCTCTCGCCTGCCAAGTCAAAACGGCCTTCCGCGGTGGCCGCGTCTTTGGTGAGTGACCTTGTGTGAAGGGGAGTGAGGGGGTAGGCTAGATCTGAATTCGTCATAGGCTGGCGAGGATGGTTGTGCTCGGCTGCCAAAAGCCCTTTTGTCGCTCAGGTCGGAGGGTGGCTAAATCGGACGCCCTGCGGGTGCGCGGGGCTGGGAGAGCGCGTGGCGGTGGCTCCTGGGAGGTGGGCAGGGTTATGAAGATGTTCTGTTTTACGCTGGCCCTGGCGCGGTGGCACAATAGAAGCCCCCAGGAAGAAGGAAACAATTCTAAACCCCCATCCCGTATATGGAGCGAACTGCTGGAAGGCAGTGGGGAGGACAGGGAATTGGGAAAACCCTAATGCCCAGCATTTGGAATGTGATGGAAGGGAGGCGGAGTGTGCTGTGTTTTGCACCGTCATCCACCGTCCCCCGCGCCCTTCACAGGTCCTTGTGAGGCGTGGAGAAGGCGCTGGGGTAACAGGCGAGCTTGCGGGGTAGCGGTCTCTCCCTTCGCGGCTGGGCGGTGCAAGGCCCCTCGCCCGGCTCCGCCGCCCGCCTCTGCCCCTCGGAGACTGGTCCGCTGCGCCGGGAGAAGCCTTTCCTGGACAGATTAGCTCACAGCCTAGGCGCGCAGCGCTTCTGAATTCGCGTCTTCCACGCCCCACCCAACACCATTTCTTATTGAACACTTTATTTGGGTTCAGAGCTAGCCACTTCAGGGTTCCTGATTTTATAGGTTAAACTCCCGGAAAGAAAAGTTTGTGGGGTGACGTTCATGCAGGGGGAAGGGGGAATTAAATTTTTAATAGTGGAGTTCGTACTGAAATTATATTGACATATACCCGCTGCCGGTTTCCTGCTCCCCCATTACTTCAAATGGTATCATGAGCATCTTTTAAATATTAAAGAAAATTAGTTTAAAATCT